CGGATTTCGCGAAATGGCGGCTCTTCTTCTGCGACGAACGCCTCGTGCCCTTCGAAGACCCGGAGTCCACGTGCGGAGTGTATCGGCGCGAAGTGATGCCTCGAGTGCCCGCTCTGGCGGCCGAACAGCTGATTGCCGTCAATCCCGCGCTTTCGCCGCAATCGGCGGCTGAAGACTACGAGCGCGCGATTCGGCGCTCTCTCGACTGCGCGGAGGCCGACGAGTGGCCGCGCTTTGACCTCTTGTTGCTGGGAATGGGTCCCGACGGCCACACGTGCTCTCTCTTTCCGAACCACGCGCTGCTGCAGGAGAAGCGCAAATGGGTCTCCTTTTTGACGGATTCGCCGAAAGTGAGTGTCGTTTGAAAGGAAAGCCTGTGTCTGAGTCTATGTCTGTCCACAGCCGCCGCCGTCGCGCGTCACTCTCACTCTCCCGGTGCTCTTGAAGGCCAAGTGCGTCGTCTTCTACTCGACGGGCGCCGGGAAGGCCGACACTCTTCGGCGCATTTTCGTGGACGCGGAACCGCTTCCCGCAGGTCTCGTGCGCCCCGAAGACGGCGATCTCTATTGGGTGGTCGACGGCGAGAGCGGGCGACTCATTCCCGACTCAATGCTCACCAAAATGGCTGACTTGTGATCACGTGATGTGTGTTTGTATTGATTGCTATGTTATGTAATAAAGAATATATAAATGCATTGAGAGTTGCGTTCATTGACTGCCGGAAGGGTTGACGACCTGTGAGTCCGTCTGCGCAGACGCACAGCAAAGGGTGTGTTTGACTCGTCCTTAGACTCCATTTGTTTACTCCAAGACTTCTGTTCCGCTTCTCCGATGTCTTGTGCACTTCCAACACATCCACCGCTTCTCCTGTAATGGCGTTAACGCAGCCCTCAGTCAACTGCAGTCTCGACGACATCGATCTCAACGCCCTTAAGGTGTGTCCCTATTCTACGCCAACGTCTGTCCATTTCTAGCCCTGTCTCCCCTCAGGACCCCGCGGGCATCTTCGAGCTCATCGAAGTGGTCGGCAATGGCACGTATGGCCAGGTGTACAAGGTAGGACCCGCCACGCCCTCCATTGACCACTCCCTCTCACTCGCTCTCATTACAGGGCCGACACACGAAGACTGGCCAATTGGCGGCCATTAAGATCATGGACGTGACGGAAGTGAGTTCCCGTCGCCTTCTCTGCGCTCTTCTTATTTGCTTTCTCTCTCTCACAGGACGAAGAGGAAGAAATCAAACTCGAGATCAATGTCCTCAAAAAGGTATTC